TGAGCGTCTGGTCCAGGCAGGGCACAGAGATGAAGAGTTAGGGGTGATACCAGGGACAGTAGGGAGGCAAACCCTCCTCCTCAGTGACATAGGATGAGGCTGAGCTGGGGGAGGGACAGCAGATCCCCGAGAGCCCGGCTCTAGGGCCTGGGCAGGGGGATGGGAGCAGCAGCAGCTTGAGGGAATGACTGTCACTTTCCTCATGTGCAGGGTGTTGGGGTTCACTCTGTGCACGTGGGGTCTCGTGAGCCACACTGGAGCTTCCAACCCAAACCAAACAAACAAGAAGACCGTGGCAAGGCTGTCTTCAAGAACAGACAAGGGGCCCAGCGTACCTCCGCTGATTCATCCATCTCACAGTTTACCACAAAATGTTCTCAGAAACCAACATGAGGTTTCCTGTCGGGAATCTGGTTTCAGGCTCAGCTAGCATCCGGTGAGCTCTTCCCTGAGTGAACCACCGCTCCTGGCACGGCCCCCAGGGTCGCTGCAGAGACGCTGTCACCTGACAGGAAAAGTGTGAGGCTCCTTCGGGAGCCATGTGGCCCCTTTCCTAGAAGCCATCTTTTCCAAAGCAGCCATTGTCTGGAGTCTGTCTCCTGGTGCCGCTTTTGTTTCCTGAGATTTCTCAAACAGCCACAAAGCCACACCTGCTCCCCAAGTCCTTCCCTTCTTGGATGGCGAATTTTCTGGGTCTCCACATTTCTTCTCCCCGGAAGGGCATTTGGACCTTGACCTGAGCTGTGAGGGCAGGCTGGCAGGAGGGCGCTGGTGACAGGCCAGCGGGATGGGGAAGCGCAGATGGGACCCAGGTCCCTCTCCACCTGAGCTGTGCTTCTAGATTGAAGGGTTGTGAATTAAGAATATTACGTTTATAAGAAAGATGAAACATTTCTTGGTTTATGACAATATTTCTATCATATTGTATTGTTATCTATCTGCTGACATTTCCATCTGTCTCTAGAATGTTTGCCTCCTAGGCCCAAAACATGAGTGTGTGTACACACACACACACACACACACACACACACACGGGCATTTCTGCTTAGTGCCTTAGCTTGAGTTCAACTGCTCACCAGTATTGTGTCATTGTCATGACTGAGCTGACCAGCGCGATTGGAGAGGTCAAGGTGAGCTTCATACCTAGGTCAGGAGGGAGGCGGAGCACAGCCTTCCCCGCACCGGCCGGGCTCCTGAGCCCCAGGGAGAAGCGGAGTCTCCAGGGCCGCTGTGCTCCTGGTGGGGAGGAGCCTGCAGGGCTCCCCAGGGCCGACAAGGAGTCCCATTTCTCAGCCCTCTGGGATCAGGGCGCCTGCCCACCTGCCGTGCACACGGAGGACCTATCCTGTCCCGAAGGCACAGGCGGGGCTCCCTGCGCCTTCCGCTCTCTGCCTGGGCGGTTCCTCAGCCTCCCTGGTTACGATGCTGCTCGAGTCACCTCCCTCAAAGCCTCCCAGCCCCTCGGGCTTTGACCTTGGGACTGACCACCTGCGGCCTTTTCCAGCTCGTGGCGGTGGGTCCCGACCCCCAGCCCAGATCCATCCTTCCTGAGGGACTGTGACCATCAGGTGGGGAGACAGGGAGGCTGGGCGCCCTTCTTGGCAGGCCTCCACTTCCTGTGAGAGGCGCTGCCCTGGCACAAGCGCAGGTCACTTGCTGTGGCTGAGCTGGGCCACAGTTTCTCAGGGGCCACTGGGCTTGCTCAGAAAGCATAAAGTGGGTTATGTCGCCACCTACTGCCGGCATACTCAGCAACTGGCAGCAGGGCCTCGTGGCCTTTGTTGAGAGGGAAAAGAGCTCCAATCCCCTTTCGGGAGACAGCAACCCCCGAGGGGGTGCGGCAAGGGGGCCCGCCAGCCCGTGGAGCTGCCCCAGTGAGCTCTCCCTGCATCACCCAGCCAGGCCTGCCTCCCCGGGCAGCACCCCCACCTTCTCCCACAGGGGATAGTGACCCATGGGTGCCGTGGATCCATGGCGGGGGAAGGCGGGGGTGAGGAGAGCAAGGCTCCTGGAAGACGGGCTGACACCACGGCCGAGTGGTGACCACAGCCATGACTGTTGGAGAGCCAGAGGCACCGTCCATACCAGTGCCACCGCGGCCAGTGAGGGAGAAAGGCAGTGACGACGGCCGGGCTGTGACAGGAAGAACCGGCAGCTCTGGGTCAGGTCCTCAGTTTGCCAAGCCAGCCGCTTCCTTCCTTCATAAGTGGGGTGCTACTGCTGATTCAGAGTTCTTGTGAGACTGAACTGAAGCGACGCTGTGAGGGCCCCACCGATGGCAGCTGTCATTACCCTGACACCACGCTCTCCAACACGCTAGGGGAGGCCGGCTTCACGCCACCTCACGATGTAGACATTTTGCAGGAATGCATTCAAAGACAGATACACACGGAGCACAGTAACAGGGCTGCTTGTGGGAGAGGATGCGGGGACACGTGGGGCACACAAATTAAACAGGAGCGCCTTGCGCAGAGGGGGCTGCTGAGGTGCCATGAGGAGGCGCATAACTCACTGTATCCCCTGCACCCAAGATTGAAACGGGGGCACACCCCCCCCCAAAACTCACCCCAGGGGAAAAGTGGTTTACAGAGGCCAGACTGTCTCACGTGGCTAGACAAGGCCAGTGCCACCTGAAAGCCACCTTCTCTTTTGGAGATCATCAGTATACACGGTGGCTTCCTTGTTCTCCAGGGGCCACATCCCCCTGACAGAAACAGAAGGCACCATCGTCCCACTCAGACACACGCACATGGTGGTTTGGGGGCAGCTGGCTGGTCTTCCTTCAAAGTGCTCCTCACGTGTGCCAACCTGTGCCCATCCCATTGCCACCTGTCCTACCCCTCCAATTCATCCTCCACCGTCTACACTGCAGCCAGGTACCACTCCTTCTAAGTCTTTAATTACACTAATAACACGGATACATCTTAAACCGCATAGAAGCCCTCAGAACAAAACAGGGAGTCTTCCTTGGTCTCCCACGCTGCGCCTGCCAGAAGCGCCACCAGCAAGTTTGGAGGTCATCCTTCTAGTCCTTTCTCTTCATTACACACATATATGTACTCAGACCCCATGTATTTTTCTCCAGATTCTTAGTCCTCAAAGCCACAAAGTGTCCCCAGGACAGCTGTGCTGTGACGTCTCTCACCACTTCCCTTTGAAGGACTTACAGTTGTTTCCATTTTGTCATGTCACCAACTGTGGGGCGGCGAGCACCTTCTGGTCCACAGTCTACACAGTTCTGAAGGACAGAGTCATACCAGCAGGACTACCAGGTTGAACAGTGTGTATTCTTGAACTTTTAATACTTTCAAAGCGCCTTCCCTAAAGGTTTACCCCAGAGGGATCTTCCTGAGGCGCCAGTCCCATGACTCCTCTGCTGAAGTGCTTTCGGCAACCATCCGCCAAGATAAAGCGTGGAAAGGAGGCGGAACGGAGGCCGGGCAGCGACGGGTCAGGTCCCACCAGTGGAGGGTCCTGTGTGTGTGCATGTGCACGTGTGTTATGCGTGTTGTGGGGCGAGAGGCAAGGCAGGGGACAGGAGTCAAGTGGCAAGAACTGAGGCAGAGGAGGTCAATGAAGGCTTAAGGAATGAAGACACCAGAGCAGCACGCAAGGGCAGCAGGACTGACCCTCAGATCATTTGGGCTGTGTGGCCACAGTGAAGACCCAGAGAGGAAAGGGCACCTGGGTGGGTGACCTTGGCAGAATGGGCTGGTGGAGTGTGGGTGTGGGGGAAGGCAATGGTTTTGGTCTGGGCCCTCCTGAATCTGGAGGGACCGAGGGGCATCTGACCCCAGGTGAACCTAGGCGGTGGCCATAAGGTCTGGAGGCGCAGATCTAGGAACCATCAGCAGGGTCTCACGGCCTTTCAAGAAAACCACTCTTCTGAGGCTATCACCCCAGGCTGAAGGAAGCACCCAGGAGGGGACGGGACTCTCCTGGGGAGGCCTCTCAGCAACACCTGGCAACACCCCCTGCCCTCCTTCCCTGGGCAGGGAGACAGGCCCAGCCTGCTCCGGGAGCTCTTGGGCTCTGTTCTCTAAGCCAGTCCTGTCAGAAGGTGAGGCACTGGCAGGAGGAGGGCACAGGCGGGAGCCTCTCAGGTCAAGAAGCACACCCAGCCCTCCAGCGAGGCCCGCGGTCACTGACTGTCTGAATGGCAGGTGAAATGCTCTACAGTGTTTTCTGAGGGGTAAGGGGCAGGAGGGGGCTGTGAGAGGAGCGAAACTGAAGGGTGGCCCCAGGGGTGGAGGAAATCCCAGCGCGTGGGACTTGGAAATGCGGGGAACATAGTGTCTCAGGAAGGAGGATGTACGATGCGAGTGTGATGAAGTGAACAACGCCCCCTGGGTCAGCCGGCCAGGCGGGTGAGGGATGGCGGCGGGAAGGCAGTGGGCCCAGGAATAACCGAAAAACCGGCAGCAAGAGTGTGGAGAAAGCTAGTGTAGACAACACCCTTGCAGGTTGTCCAGGAAGAAAGAAGAGGGTCAGGGAGGGTAAAGAGGGCGGGCATGGGGCTGATCAAAGGATCCAAGGGCAGCGTGGGTGCCGCGGGAAAGACCGGGCAGTTTACATGTGATGGGAACACACAGCGGGGCTGGAAGCAGAACCGGCCCACAGAGCGGTGGGGGCCGAGCCCAGGAGGAGGGCGCCTCCCCCTCCTCCTCTGCGCCAGGAGGGAGCAGGGGACACAGGAGAGGCCCTGAGGCCTGCCAGGGCGTCAGGGCCAGCGCCTGAGCGTCATGGGGGGCAGGGAGCCCCGGGGACACAAGGTTTCCGATCAGCTCATCTGGCAATAGTTCCCCACAGAGAGGGGGTTTCAGGCAGCCCCAACCCACACACATGGCATTTCATTGCCAGGTACCTGGAAAAGAACTGCTCTGGCTCTAGAAGATAAACCCAAGGCCCACTCTCGCTGGCATAAGGAATGGCTGCCCCTCCGCCCCACCTACTCACTTTACAAGTTCAGTTGATTTCACACATTTAATTTACACTGGATCTTGCAAGGACAAGGAAGTGTTTTATTTATTTACAACAAAAACACATGTAACACAATTCTCTCTCTTCAAAACAGAGAGCCCTATAAAATACACAAAGCAATCTCTATTTGTATTTACCCAGGGACATTAGCAGCCAGAAGGGGGTTGGGACCAGGAGAAAAGCCAAGGACTAATTCCATCTAAAAAAAAAAAAAAAACAAACTCCCTCAAAAAAATTAGCATTTTTCTACTTGTCAGTAGCTACACTTTCCCCTACCCTGTGTATGAAAATGTGAAACAGAAAACAGCACCTATGAAAACATCTCAGTGGGTCGGTCAGAGGCAGCAATGCCAGGGCTGTGGAGCTCCAGCCCGCGCCCCGAGCAGGTCACAGCAGCTGCCTGCCTTGGAGGTTCGTTCTTTCTACAAAGTACTCCCAGACTCGTGACAACAGGGAGCTCCAGCAGCCTTGCTTCTCTTGCTTGTAGTTAGCGGAAGAATCTAGAAATCAAACACAGCAGTTAGAAATACAAGATTCAGTCGTTCCAAAGCCAGGTGACTGCCACCGAGGGTGCCATGTGCAGTCACAGCTACGCATACAAGGAAGCCAAAGCCAGTCCTGGGTCTGGGGCGATGACACCAGATGGCAATCAGGACAGATGCCATCGCAGTTCAGCTCCTACTGGATGGGCTCTGAGAAATGGTTACCAATTAATATGGTGGCTTTGAACCTTGAAATCAAGAACACAGGATACAGTCTCAAAATCAGAAAGAAAGAACTCTAAGATCATCTAGTTCAACTTCATTTTTCAGACAAGGCCCCAAAATGAGTGGCTAATTTCTGAGTGCAGGTAGAGCTTTATTCATTAGACTTTCTCGACTGTTCCACAGGGAGTGACACTTCCTCAACCATTTAAGGATGTGAAAAACACCCCAAACAGCCAAACAGCTCAGCAGCTGCTCTTCAGTGGGGCACCAGAGCCCGGCGACACATGCTGAGGCAGCACCAGCCACGCGGATGTGACCTGCAGGAAGGCCAGACGACCTCCACAGGCTGCTCCACGCCCCACGGCAGACGGCGGGCGTGTGCTGACAGCAGAGACAGCAAGCTACTTCATCCAGAACCAGAAGACCCCAGGTGACCCTGGGCTCCACTGCTTCCTGCTCTGTGGTCCCGGGCAAGTCACGCCTCCTTGGTTTCCTCACCTACACAACGTGCCAGTGTGTGTGCTAACACGTCCTCACTGAGCTGTCACAGGCCCAGAGTGACAGTTATCTCAAGAAGGGTGCATTTGAGAGCTGTGACAACAGCCTGCCCACCCCCTTCCTCCCCAGTTCCCCTGGAGCCAAACACTGGCTCTGGCCGGACGCGCCTCCCCACGCTGGTACACTGGTATGAGCAGCTGTGCGGCCGTGCTGGGGGCCAGGGGCTGAGTGAGAATCCTTCCTTCACTCTCTTCTTGCAGAGCAGCAGTGTCTGAGGTGAGGCGAGAAGTCTGCACTGCCCACCCTGCCCCACGGGCAGCAGCCGCCGGTGGGCACAGCGCAGGGCCGAGGGGAGGCCAGCGCTTCCTCGAAGTCGTCCATCTGGCTTCTCATTGAGATGTAGTATGAAGAGTGCTTTTTTTGGTTGCTATAAATACTGTGGCACTCTGCTAGGTAAGCCTTTGTTGGCTGCCCCTTATAACAAACTATAGAAAAAGATGGCACCAGTGAAATTCAACTTACAAATTTCAAAGTTACCACCCTTATGGAACCCTTTAGTGGGATAAAGAGATGAACAAACAAAAAAATATAAGTGCACTGAAGAAAAGTAAGTGGGATATGAAGATGCAGAATGACACCGGTTGCTATTTAACACAAAGTAAGCAGAAGGGCCCCCTGAGGAGGGACATTTAAGTAGGCTGAGCCCTGTGGCTAGTTAGGAGAAGGGCTTTCCAGGCGGTAGGGACACCGATGCCAAGGCCAAGGATCAGAAACACGCTTGAAGAGCACGGCCAGGGTGGGGGAGCGCGGGGCAGAGGGAGAAGCTGCCCCGGGCACTGACAGCCTCGTAGTGAAGGCGAAGGCCGGGGAGGGCTTCAGGTTTTCCTCGGCGTGACGGGAAGCCACTGGCGCTTCCGAACAGAGAAATGACTTTAAAAAGAAAAGATTAGGGGCTGGCCCCGTGGCCGAGTGGTTAAGTTCGCGCGCTCCGCTGCAGGCGGCCCAGTGTTTCGTTGGTTCGAATCCTGGGCGCGGACACGGCACCGCTCATCAAACCACGCTGTGGCAGCGTCCCACATGCCACAACTAGAAGGACCCACAACGAACAATATCCAACTATGTACCGGGGGGCTTTGGGGAGAAAAAGGAAAAAATAAAATCTTTAAAAAAAGAAAAGATTATTCTGGTTGCTTCGTAGGGAAGAGGCTGCAGGGGCGTAAGAAGGGTGGTAGGGCGAGTGGCCCCCTCACTGGGCAGGCGGGCCCTCAGGCTGCTCTGCCCCAGGCACCTGGGGGGGACGTCGTGATGGGGGCCAGCCGCCTGGTCCAGGCTTCCGGAAACTGGCAGCTTCACTCTTCATTCTGCAGCACCTCACTTCCCATTTATTCCTCCATAAACCCAACTGCCATGTACATCGAATGATTCTAGAACCATCATGCTGGAGAGGCCGTGTGGGCTCCAGCTGACAGTCCAGTCACACGCCTGACTGCAATGAGGGCACCCCGGCCACTGAAGTGGGTAACATTTCCTGTACTTTGTTGGGCATCCAGAAGCGGATGGGATGGAGCAGAGCCACAGAGCAGCTGGATGGGGCACAACCACACAGGATGAGTGGGGGCAGAAACAGAAAAAAACTGTAAGTATTAGAAGGAAACAAGACAGGGCTTGTCAGTTAAGATGAAATGCAAATGCATAATAAGCAAATGAGAAGATGCTCAACTTCACTGGTATCAAGGAGACAAATATGAAAACATGGAAAAGGGACAACGAGGCCCCTCCCACGGGGGATCCCACTTCCTCACCTCACTAACAGGAGCAGAAGCACTGGCGCTGAGCCGTGAACCTGGGACAGCTGCCGTGGTGGCGGCTCGGGAGCGCTCCACCAGCATGGCGGGCTCAGGCTCCCTCTGCCCCCTCGCCGGGCTCATGGGCTCTCTTTTTGCTTTCTTCCCAAGCCCAAAAGTCCCCCCAAACTCTTCCCTCTCAAGCATCAAGCAGCTGGAGGAAAACGAAAAATTTCTGTTAACCTATGATGAAGAGCAAATTGAGTTTCCTTTTGCCTCAAATTCTCCTACTGACTTTAAAGGTTATTACAAAGTGTCCCATTAACACGTTTTCTTAGGGAAGGATTTGTTCTTTTGTGTGAGAGAAACTCTGCTGCTCTCCCAAAGCAACCAATTAAAAATGCACAATATTTCTTCCCTGCTACATCAAATATTCAATGTTGTAAGCCATGATAGGTCAAAAGGCAAAAAAAAAAGAAAAGCGTCTCTTTGTGGCATTTGATAACAATCATTCCTGATAAAAGCCTTTAGTAAAAAAACATTTCCTTAACATGAAAAAAGAATATATCTCAACCAAAAGTCAGCATCATGCTTAACTGCACACCAGCAACAGTTTCATCACAGTCATGAAAGCTGCGCGATGCTCAGAGCGGCCCTGCTATTTAGCAGTGTTCTGGAAGCACTAGCCCAAACGCTTAGATGGGCCCTGAACACAACAACAGATGTAAGTGGTGGAGAGGAGACAACAATTTTCCCATTATTTGTATATGATGATCATATGGCTAGAATATTCAGGGGAGCAACTGACATAACTATCAAAAAACTAAAAACTTCAGAAAGGTGTTTGGTTACAGAGGGAAAAAACAGGCAATTTACAAAAAAAAAGTCACCTGACTCTGTAACCATGTGAAAAGATGCTTGTCCAGGGACATGCTAATTCGAACAACGAGATCCCATTTCAGACGCACCAAACTGGCAAAGGTTAAAAAGTCTAAACGCACAACGATGGCAAAGCTATGGAACGGACTCTCGGACACTAGCAAAGGGGCCGTGAGAGGGAACAGCGACTCGAGAGATCAATTCAGCCACACCTAGTCCAGCTGAAGATACACATATCACCACCGACACCGAAATTGATATGGTACTGAAATAAGTCACAGAGAACTCAGGCCCGGGGACAGCCCATCACCTCCTCTCTCTCTATTCATTACTGTTAAGAAGATGACGATACCCTCCTAGGATGGAAAGGCTACTCAGCTACTTTGTTAAAATGAAGCAGTTGTTTATGTGCTTCGAAAACACCCCAAATGCATTAAAAACATATTATAGTATCAAATGTATAATTCTATTTCTGGGGAAGATTATATATACACCCACATTCTCAAATATTCACAAAAAACCCTTCAGGAAGGAAATGAAACATCAACAGTGGCACCTCTGGAGAGGGGGCTCGGGCCTGGGAGCTGTCACTTTCCACCTTTCTTGTTTAAACTTTAAGCATGCAGCGTTTTTATAATTTAAGCTGAAATGCTGACACAAAGTTGCAGGGAGGGGTAGAGGAAACAGAACAGCACAATGCTGCTAATCGTCACATGTGGGTAATGCGGACGTGGGCAGATTGTCATGTTATTCTTTCCACCTCTGAATAGGTTTAAAAATGTCCATACTAAAATTTCACTACTAATCAAGTGAAAAAAAGAAAAACTGTTTCAATCTAGTCTGTGTCCCACGAAACGACTTGAGAAATAAATCCTGTAATCAATATTCACGCAGCATGAACATGTTCCCGGGAATGCAGATGGCTAGAGATGACCCCCAAGGTCAGACACTGGGATTTTATGAGGTTCAGTTAGTTGAATTTTCAAATTGAAACCAATAAAAAGTAACACTTTAGCATAAATGAAAGTGGAGCAAAGTAGAAAAATTCACATTTCATTTTGCAAATTCAATACTGGTAGCACACGGAGGTGCAAAGTCAGAGAAAGCAGCTGTCATGTATCCATGGCTCAAGGAAAGATACGCCTGGAGACCTACAAAGACAAAAGAAGTTAGACCCGGGCAGGAAACGCAGACAAAGGTCCGTGAAGGCAGACTCCAGTGGAATATATTAATGCTAAACAAGCTGCTTCCAATGAGAGTAAACCCCAGGCATGGGGAAAAGGCGGAGTCGATGTGAAACAGAAACTCAGGCAACGATATGATCGGTGTCCACAATAATTGCACAACACAATGAGCAGTAATCAAAGAAGAGTGTGAAAACGTAACCGAGAAGACAGAGAAGTGATGGAATCCTGGCCCCGCGAGCCGGAGGCTGCAGAGCCCAGGATGTTTACGTTGGAAATCCGAGGACAGAGGCTGAGGATCAGGGCAGGGTGAGCAGAGTTCCCACGGCGTCGTGTACCAGCCCTGCCTTGTCTCGCAGCCCTGTCCCATAGCACTTCCCTCTAATCCTACAATAGCGAGCCAAACTGTCAGACGTGAACATCATCTGTGAGAAAGCTCTGGAACAGT